GCCTTGCAGTATTTTGGTTCACAAGTACCACCACAGGCATTCCAGCCCAAAACAACCACTGGGACTACACAGGGGTATATCAGAGCACAATGTGCATTTTTAACTAAGGTATAGGAATGATTAATTACATTTAATTTGGTATTAGCACTGATGCTACCCCAAGGAAAAGGACGCCATAAATAACAACCAGACATTTATCACCTCATACACAAATATCATAATCAGAACTAGTTGTACTTACATAATAAAACTTAGTACTTCTAGATCATTCATGACCATAGGTTTTAAATAATTCTCATTAAATTTATAAGAGGAAAGAGGTATTATCTCCAAACTATACACGAAAAATAACACCACAAGCAGCTTCAAGGACTTGCATGGACAAAAAAGAAACTGAAATAATTTCAGAATTGCAACTAGGAAGTTTCTGGTTCCTAATTTTGTAGCAAATCACTTGATCTTGACTCACAGTTTTTAAAGCTAGACCGAGTAATTTTATGATTACTAGGATTTCAGTTTATGCAATTTATGCTATAGAGAAAAAGCAGCCATCCTGAAAGGTTAAAAATCGGGGGCTGTGATTCCCCAAGGGACCTGCAGTCTTCAGTGGGTTTCCAGGGTGGGAGAGGCTGGAGGCTGCGGAGGCCGCACGGGCAGCACACGCACAGGAGAACCCGCTGCCCGGCGTGGGCAGCCTTCTGACCTCACGGAACACGAGCAACTTTGCAAGTGAGGTCACTGTGAACAGGCCTGAGCGCGAAGGAAACTATTTTCAATGTCTTTACCTTTAATACTGATTAGCTTCATGAGACAATCCTATAGGTTGTATTATTCTGTTTGCATAAGCTAAAAAGCCTTTTTTTTCTATCTGGTCCAAAGTTGCTAGGAAAAAAGTATATTGCATTCATGTTATCACTAGGAAGTATCATTGCTTTTGTATGAAGAATTCCTCGAGATTTCTCTGGATTTTTGTTGCAGATTCCTAAATAGGTCATATACATTCCAACAACAAATGATATTGTGCTCTTATCTAATTACTAAAAAACATCTTAAATTCGACGTGGTGACCTCTCCCTAACATCTACTGGAAAGGGCAGAAAGAAACTTGCTGTTATTTAGTAACAAAAGTACCATGTAGGAACCCTTAAACCTATTAAAAATAAAACTCAACAATTTAGGCCATGTGTTACCCGCAGTAGTTTTCATGGGCTGTGCGTTACCTGCAATAGTTTTTGAGACGGATATCAATGGCCCAGGACAGCTGAGGCTACACTTTTATGCCTGCACTCGTGTGTTTTGCTAGCCTGTGCACACACATCCTGATGAGTAGCTCTCAATTTCTTTGGTAAGCCAAAGGAAATGTATTTTTAGCACAGGTGAAATTTTTTTCATCAGGGCAAGTCATTCTACAAAACCACCTTTAGACAAAACATTAAGCCACAAGTAGTAACAGAACACCAGCTTTTCATACAAGGACAGTCCCACCCTCTTCTTAAACATGGATTGATGAGCTGGGGGGAATACAGAGAGCTTTTGGATTTGCTTGTCTATAAGTGGTTCTGAATACAGAAAATAACAACACACGCTTTGTGAAGCTCTCAAAAATGAGAAAAGCATGTTGTGTTGTATCTCATTTCTATGTAAAATTAATGAAAATAAAGCAATGCACTTCCTATGCATAATGAATAACCACGCCAAACTATATCAACTTTTTCAGACTTTTCCTCTAGAGGGCTTTTAAATGAGGTCAGCAGCAAACATATCTTTACATTTGATCTAAGAGTGAGCAGCACAGAGTAACAGAGCTTGTCCACACAAAGCATAGTAACAAGCATCTTGATTTTGATGATGAAAAACAGAATACTAAACACCACCCCTGTATCTGTACCAAATGCAGGTTTCACAGACTCGGTTACAGAGGGAAGCCAGGACTGTGCGTAAAGACACAGCCCCATTAACGGTGCTGGAAAGATCAATGCTGGCTAAGCACAGGAATGACAACCCCATATGTCAGATTCGGGAGGACCAGCAGCGTGTGCCTCCAGAGGGCCAGGATTACGGCACAGAGGAGTTTCAAAGAGCCAGGTGAAACGCTTATATTCTACCTTAGAAACTGATAATTAACATCCCATCTTAACAGAAAGCAGCAGCAGCAGCATGGCCGCGGTAAGAAAAAAGCAGCTATTAAGTGAAACTGCCCTAACAGCTCGAGTGCTGTTTTCCTGGTTGTAGACCTGTTCAAACTGAGTTTTTCTCCTTTCCCTGGTCCATGCAAAAACTATTCCTGGCTGTGATAAAGAGACCAGGCTCTAAAAGCAATAAACAGCAGATGCACTGCATATGACGGAACTCATTCTTGCTGTGAACTACTGCTTTTGTTACTTTTATCAATGTGTTTTTCTTAAACAAGAGGAACAAACTCCTCTAAAGTAATTCTTGGTAGCATTCTGGAGAGCGCTTATTCCCTGGCATCTCCTGCTTGAATTTTAACTGACTCCCCTACCTCCTCTTTATGCTCGGCAGCATCATGCTCCTATGTCTCAGTGAAGTAAAACACACGGAAGCATCTGGGATTCTCCCCAGGCCGTCCTACAACTCCTCTTCCCACTCTTGTTCTGCAGCCGTGGCAGACGGGCACTGGCTGGTCCATAACCTACATCCAGGGCATGGGGTGGAGGCACCGCATCCCCACGGCAGCCCCGGTGCGGCAGGGTCACTGCCCAGCAGCAGGCTTGGAGCTCGCTGCGATTCACGTTCCCAAACGAGAGAAGGGCAGCAGTTATCCGGGGTGCCCGGCCTCGGCAGCAGCCTCTCCGGGACAGACGGACGGGCCCCTACGGCAGGCAGGAACTGCCACAACGCAACTGGGCGCACGGCAATATGTGTTTCCAAAGGGTTATAGACCATCTTGTTGTAGACGTTTTAATGACAGAACTAGCCTAATTAAGAATCAATCTTCTACACCAATGAAGCTACAATTAAAAGATAACATCCTTCCTTAATTTTTTTCTTGTTAAGAGTCCACTTTTGTTTTTCTAATTGTACCACTCCTGCTTAAATTATCATTATGAAATTTTTAGTAGAACCTGTAATATCTGATTTCATTTAAAACCACACAGTTCTTGGTGCTGTAAAACACATCATTAAGTCCTTTATCCTGGAGATCTTGCAATCTAAACAGATGAAATGCATGATGAGAGTAGTGAAGAAATGCAGTATTCCTCTCCTTATTTTTCAACATGTAGAACATAGTCACCAGCTGACTGCTCTTACGAGGACCCCGGCAGAAAGTCTCACAAATCAAAACCAAATCTCCAATGTACTACGCAAATTTTAAAGCAAAGATAACTGCTTTTAAAATATATTTAAACTTGTTCTTTTTTATCATTAAGATATTTCTATTTTCAAAATCTTCTCTGCCTCTAGAGGAGACCTTCTAGATCTTTATTTCAGGTTCTTTTGGATTTAACTGGTAATGACACACAATTTTTTATCAATCCATAAATTTGAGAAGCTAATAGTGGTAGGCTTTTTCTTTTAAGTTCAGCATTTCTTCTTGCACCCAAACAAGATACAAAGCTGGAGCGTTTCTCTCCAACACATTTTTGTATGACTTAGGGAGAAATCAAACTAGGAACCAGGATCATCAATCCAACCACCAAACCTTTGAACACGCCTTAATTTCAAACACAGAGCTGTTTGCTGGGTGTTTGGATGAGGTGACATTCACTGCATCTCTAATGCAGAGTCCTCAAATGGTGCCCCACAATACCCCGCTCGCAGTTCGGCAAACTCTTTCGGCCTTTGCTTGTACGCTTGAAATTCTGACACGTTAAAATTATGAGAAAATAAATAAATAGAAAAAATAAAAGTTTTTCCCTCTATCTCGGTTCTTTGCACATAGGGTCTACTCAGCCTGGCTATACACAATTTTTATGATATTATTCAAAATGGGTCTTTTGAGTTTCCCACTTCTCATTAATTTGAACATTTTTGAATGAATTTATGTTTGTTGATTTAGAATTTGATAGATTGTTAGAATTTGATAAAGAAATTTATCTGTATAGTAAATTTTTAACATATTCGGGTGTGCTATTAAAAGTAAACAAACACCATACAACAATAATTGCTGCTTAGAGATGTGACCTGCAACTCCACACCTCTTTCCCAGATATTCTTGTGTGCATCCGCCTTTTCCCCCCTAACAAGCTAATATAGTTTCATCACTGCATCCTTTGATGGATACATGTTAAATATGACAAAAGTTAGTAACAACTAGAGATACTTCAGTGATCCATCTGCATAAATAATTACAATAGATGGGCAGGAAGGGATTTGGAAAGAAAAAGAATTCCCTGCAATTCCCGGGGAGAAAGCTGCAGCTATGCAAACTGTTCACAGTCTCTGAAGTCTTCATGGAATTCAGGGAACGTGGGTTCAACCCCCAAAGTGGGCACAAACTCCTGGGGGGAGGGAATGACTAGGCTAAGCAAGCATTAATTTGGGCTCTCCAAGGTAATTTACATTAGAGTAATTAGAGTTTAGACTCCCTTGCTGCTCTATTTACGAAATCTATTAACCTATGAACTTTCTCTAAAGTTTACATACAATTGTTTTCATTTTTTTCCTGAGCAAAAAGGAAAGCAGTTACTAAGGAAGTAATTTCTAATAATAATTAACAGTATTTGGAGCCCAAGAGGTATATACATACTTTAACACAATCTGTGCTGTGTAAATATACTAGAGATACATCTTTGTGATCCCTCAGCCTTCAGCTGAGCTGTTGCTAATATCCTTGTTTTTGTTTGCATTGATTTTGCCTTAAGTGCAGCCCGCCACATGGTTTTCATTTAGTTGAATATAAAATGATGGGCCAAATTCTGCTGTAAATTACAGTGGAGCAAACAAAGAACATGTTTAGACCCTACACATTGATATTTGTCTTTTATTAAATCAATTTTAATGACGTTTTAATAGCTAAGTGCAGTAACTCTTACACGATGCGTGGGCACATTATAAAGGCAAGAATGACCAGCACTGGGGAGCGCGAGCTCGGCTGCAACGAACATCTCCCTGTCCATGCAGGAACACACGTCTTCGCGTATCCTCGTGAGTCATTAACAAGAAGTTCATTTTGATCTACAAATGAATGAGTCTGCAAATAATACCATTGTTTTTACATCTAGCTTGGAAAAATATGTCTTAACATTTGTATTGAACACTGTTATGCCATGCTCTGATCCAGAATGCTGCTTGTGGTGGACAGACCTTTCCTGCTGAGAGCAATCCACCTGGGATATCTAGCATGCTCATCATGTGTAATACATACAGAATACTTGAACTATTTTCTCAGAACAGTTCAGAGATAAGGAGGAAAAGTTTTCATACATGTTATTTAGGATAAGACCTGTCCATAAAGCAGCTGAGGCAGGTGGGAGAAAAAAACACCATCCCAAAGAGAAGTGATTTAATCTGAGAATTTCCTGCTCTGGGAAGCTGAAAAAGGACAACACAAATGCTGAATTCTCAAAAAGAGGGCAGGTACTAGGATAGTCCTTAGTCGTGTGTAAGGAGTACACACATACAGCACAGGGGAATGAATGAGTATATTGGACACAAAGGAATAAAATAACATTGCAAACATCAGCAAACAACAAAGCTCCGGAGCTGGTCCTGATTTGTTAGAGCCTGGGCTTCTGGAGCCTTCTGCCTCTTCTGTGGGATGAGCCCTTGAGAAGAGAGGTGCTCTGCATCAGGCATGGATATAGCTGAATCTATAGATGAAGACATTCATTTATATCAGTAATATGAAGAACAGAGAGATATTTGCCCGGGAGACACTGCCTTACTGTTGTGAGATATATGGCAGAATATCTCATACTTGGCCCCAGATTCATATTTAGGTAGATATGGATTTTATTCAAAAATAACTTATGACAAGATCTCTATATAAAATAAAGATTTAATAAAAATCCTGGGACAACACGTCACCTTTCAAGTTAGCACTTTTCCCTGAGGACCTGGATATGCTTTTTTGAATTTGTATCACTAAAACAAACTGCATGCTCATTTGTATCACTGATACAAAGAGATGACCATCTGCCACCCTCGAGACACCTACAGTTTGGTGTTTTTCCAGTTAATCCTAGACAATGATATAGGAATAGCAGTTTTAACATCATATGCAGTTGACATCAGCCACTAAGCTATCCAGGTCTCTGGAAGAAAAGGTGGTGTGATCACCTAGAGAAATGAAAAAAATTGATTTCTTTAATCGATTATATATGTTTGCCTTCTCCAAATTGAAAGTTTGAGTTAGTGCATTACATATATTAATTAGATCCTTAATTGATGATGTTGTTTATGCTTGATGCTTTACGGGATTTAATATAATACATAAGCAGAAATATGTTTTCAACCAAAAACCTAACTTAATTGATTTCCACTAAAACTACATGTCCCTTGTCAATCTGAATCCAGTTACTGATACACAGTTACTACCAGTATGTAAATTCATGTAATGATGATTGAGAGCATCTTGTTTAAATGCTGATTATATAGTAATCACTCTCAATTTTCTGCTGTATAGATTCCATTGCCTGGGATTGCCTTAAAATTATTATTAGCAAGAGGGAAAAGTTTGTATAATTAAAGTTATTTCAAATTATGATTAAAACACTCTATTTTGATTAATGTGGATGGATCACATGTCATAATATATACGACGTATCTGTTGTTCTAGCCTAATAAAGGGTTTGTTTCCACAGAGGACAGACTCTAAGGAGTGCTTGCTGAAGATGCAGAGAGACACAGCCTGAAACAGAGTTGAGGTGAGAAGTCAGAGGGGTCTCACGCAGCCTCTCTGAAGAGGAAAACTTACAGCGAGTGCTCAGAGGTATGGAAAGAAAACGCACTCCTGAAAACTCACCAACGAGCATAGCCCAGGCCAAGCTTTTCTCTTCAGTAAACCACAAGGCCTTGCTGTTAACAGGAAAACAAAAAGCACCTTTGAGGTATGATTTGAAACAGCACCAGAACTTCAGTTTTCAAATAATTCTTGCCATTTCTGTCATACAAATTCACGACAGAAGTTACCAAGGGAAAAAAAGTACAGTACATAAATTTGATTTTTTTTCTATTAGGTTTGACTATCTTCTGACAAACGCAGAATGACATAAAATATGACTTAGAGTTTTCCAGAGTTTTGTTCAAAATTACAAAACTTATTACATATCTTCCTTAAGTATATATAAAAATATATTTACGCAGAGAAACAACTCTGACTTGCAAGAAAGTCCTTTTTTAGTACTGTGTAAAGATTTAGGTTTTGAGCAGAAAATAGGTAGTGTAGTTTCTTTTCTCTTCCTCCTTTTCTCCTCCATCCTTTTCTTTTCTTCCCCCAGGTTATAACCTGCTACTACTGTTCCTCAAATACCGGACAGCAGCCATGATAACGTTGATCGAGCTAAGTCTCTACCTGTTGCCTCTCCCTTTTCTTTCTCACTAGGAGTACCAATTCATACAATATATACATATATATACCTATATATGGACATATAGCACATAACAAAATTATCAACAAATGAAATAGTCAAATTGTCAAAACTATTTCAGAAAGCATTCCTATTAAAATGTCTGCTCTTCACAACCTGTTTTTTCACTGAGTTTTTTTCATTAATAACTCACAGATCCTTGAACAATTCTAGTTCACAAGCGGTCCCACGCGCAGGAAGAGCAAAGCTGACTATGTTGCACTGACTGCAAAGGCCTTTTTGCCAGACTATGGAAACGACAACTCTGTAGCTTCTGGTGCATTATAAAGTGATTCTAGCATTTAAACCCACTCCTAAAGATGCTTCAGCAACATGTACAAATTGCATCAGTGGCCTTGGGCAGTGTGAAACCTATCTGTCTGTTCTGCTTGATCTCAGACTGTGCGTACGGTGCGGTATCATTACTAGATATCAAGAACAAGTGCGATTTTCCCCCTTGGTGTGAAAAGAACATACAATCACTTAGTCACCAAACCTATAATATAGGCCAGAGCAGGAACCTGTCTCTTAGGATAGTTTCAAATCTGTAATTTCCATTTCTTCCCTGCTGGCAATGTTACTTCTTATCTCCTCCCTGCCCCTCTAGTATCATATATGAAAGGGTATTAAGCAAAATAAATAAACAAATGGATGAATGGAGAGAGCATTCCTCACTGTAAGAACATACTGACTGACATCCAAAATAAAACTTTCCAGCCTCCAGACTTCAGGAACGACTCTGTAATATCTAATACAATTTTTTTTTTTTCCATCGGACTGGGAAATAGTTGTGATAAATGTGTTCTATCTCTGGCCAATATTTTACAGATGACCATTCTGTCAGAGCATTATAGACAGTACAGCAAACTCACTCTTTTCTCTGTTCCTTCCTTTGAAGTTTTGTTAGAATTATATAAAACTCCAGTCCAAATTCATCTCTAGATTTAGCACCACTTTTTAGCAGAGCTAGAGCTCAACCTAGAATACTTTAAGGACAAAACTTTTCTTACACATGAAAACTTTCTTCCCTTCATTTTTCTGCTCTCCTGTGAAAATAGTTCATATATTCTTATGTTCAAAATGAAAACTCCTAAGACTGCCAGCCAAAGTGCCTGTTTGTATTACCAGTGAATCAGTTAACTTTCTGATTGTATTACAGGTAACAAGCACCCCAAAATTTGAACTACCATCTGAATCTGAAATATGCTATTAATGACACTGGCTCTGGGATACATCCCAGCTAACAGAACCCACGTGCAGTTTTCACTGGACCTGCAGAGTGCTGTGTGTGGCATTTGACTCTTCCTATTTCAGAGGGATCTACTCAGGGAAGGATAACGAAACAACATAACCATAAAATGTCTCATTTCGCATTGAAATGAAAGTGAGAGAGATGAGCCTGCACAATCCCTTTTTATAATTTTACTTACTAGTCTGCCCTTGCAAGTCTCTCAAAATCACTCAGTGCAGTAAGATCTTGAAATCTGAAGACTAAGTGCCCCGTTTAGCTATAGCTAATTAGTCCACACATCCTGCAATGCAAAAATATAATTGACTCTGTGTGCAAAACTATTTGGGGGGAGCCAGTGCATTTACATGCTAATACAAGGGGCTGTTTGTAAAGATATGCCCCTACATTATATACGGGATATTAGAAAGGTGCCAATTATGAAGAAGGGGTGTTCTCCATTATAAACCAACTGCCTTGTGCAACTAACTAATTGCTCTACACGCTGTACAATCCAAAAATATAATTGACCCTGTCTGTAAAGCTATTTTGGGGAACAAGAAATCATTAGCATGCCAAAACCAAGTGCCAGTGACAAAGAGGGGAGTATGACCACTGTGACCATCTGCCTCCTATATGACTGATCCACACTTTCTGGAAAAAGACAAAAAACAAAAAAATCCCCTCTTTTTTTAACTGCTGTCCAAAATAAAAACAGGGCTCATGGGATTTTATTTATAGGGCATTTGCAGTATTCTGTAGAAGAGGAATCTCTCTCAAAGGTTTCTTCTGTTCAGATTGAAACCCTGCCAGCTAGGACCACTGTCAATTGGAGCACTATGTCTTTGTATACTGTATTGGGTTGGCACTGATTTTCTTTCTAGGGCTATTCCTTATTTCCACCTGGAGGAAGGGCTCCACATAAACACATGCAGAAAGTCCAGCAACACACTAACTTTGCCCATTAATAAGCAACAAACGTTCGGGAATCACTTAGGGTAAGGGCTGTCTGTGTACTCAAGAATGACAACAACAGGACAGATGTTGCAGCTTATATGTTCCCAACCCTTTGTGAGTAATCAGCCATACCACGTAAATGTCCAAGATCTTTATATCATGTTTTTGTCTCCAGCATGCATAAACTGGTTCAAAATTTTTCACATCTACAGAACTCCTGTATTAGCATGATCCACAGGTATTTGTTTACAATATTTTTCTTTTATACTGAGGTATTACTAAAAGAAGCCATCCTTCACGGCTTTATTATTCTTGCAGTAAATTGCAGGGAAGTTATTCCATAATGTTCTATCTTTTGAGCAGCTCCTGGCAAATGCTTCAGGTTTACTTTC